CTGCACCATATTCTTGGATACCGCAAAATTGCAGTGTTTTGGGTACCCCATACAATGTCTGAAGTGCAATGGCAATGTTACGCAATTTCACAGGACTTGTTGGACTGGTACCAGAGGGAAGGTAACGACTTCCTTGGAAGGACTGTCACTCTGGACGAAACTTGGGCTCGCTCATATGAACCGCACTTGAAGCGACAATCAAATGAATGGAAGCATCCTGGCTCTCCTCATCCAAAGAAAGTGCGCCCTACACAGAGTAATGTGAAGGCGATGTTCATTGTGGCATATGACACTGATGGAGTGATATTGCACCACACTATACCTCAACAACAGACAGTAAATGCTGCCTACTGCTGCAATTTCCTGCGTAATCATCTTCGTCCAGAACTCAGGAGAAAGCAACGACACTTGTTGGCAACGAACCCCATCACCCTCATGACAATGAAGGGACTGATACTGCTGATGCTGTCAAGGATCTCCTTCGCCGCTGGCGATGGGAGATACGGCAACATCCACCATATTCAACTGATATGAGTCCGTGCGATTATGATCTCTTTGCCAAAATGAAAGAACCACTGTGAGGGACATGCTACAACACAACAGAGGAGATTATTCGTGCTGTAGGGTGGTCACTGCTGGACATATCAACAGAAGTGGATGCGCTGATGGTGTACGACTCCTTCCACAAATTTGGCAGAAGGTGGTACACATGGGGGGCAATTATATTGAAGAAATATAAGTGTGTTTACCTCAGGTAATAAAGTCATTTCAGAACTACAGAGGTGTTGCCACTACTTTTTACCCAACCTATGTAAAAAGCATTAAAATTACATTTAGTTATGATATATAAGAGCACATATATCCAATTATCAATCCAAACCCCATGTCTAGCCACTAACACACGACCATACGAGGTGCTACTGGACAGTTCCCAGACTGTTACTGTTGTAACTGCCTCGGTGAAAGATGAGAGGGGAGGCCAAGATCACACTTGTGCAAGCTTATTGCATCAGTCTGAGATGTGAAATTGCGCTGTGAACAGGTACTGTTTTTACACAAGAGCTTTTTTGACTTGGTGTTTTGTCTGCAATGGATGGCAAAATCAAGCAATGTGTATTATCAAGTTTTGCGTGAAGCCCAGTAAATCCACTACCAAAACCCTTGAAATGCTTCGCGAGGCTTTTGTAGAACATTCTTTAAGCCATGCAATGGTTTTTCAATGGCAGTCATGTTTCAGGGCCAGTCAAGTGTCAGCTCAAGATGAAGAACATTCAGGGCAACCAAGCACCACCAAAATAATTGAAATACAGTAAATGAAAATGAAACTGGAGGGACAACATTTTGAAACAGTGGCTGACATCAAAAGGGAATCACAAACAGTACTTGATAGCATTAAGGAAAATTACTTTCATGATGCTTTCGAAGGGTGGAAGAAACGATGGGATCACTGTATATATTCCCAAAGAGACTCTCTTGAAGGAGAAGGCAGGCAAAATTGAGAAAGTTAAGAGAGCAGTTCTCTTTTTTTTGACATAGTACAGAACTTTCTACTACACTCTGTACTTACTTACTCATGGTCCAATACACATCGTACTATATTTAAAGGTGAAAGGTCATACTAAAGTCCAGATGACTTCTGATTTTGGCACAATCAAAATTCCTTGCATACATACAATGAACCACCATTTAATGTCCTTTGGGGAGACATGGATTTGAACGGTATACTGAGGAAAACACTAAAACAAGGAACATTACACAGGGGTTCCATTCAATGTTACCAATTCAGTCTTGAAATATTGCCTTCCATCCACCACATCCCTAAAACACCATGCATGCTTCCTCCCTCTCCTTCTCTCTCTCTCTCATGCAAGTGCGTGCATACACACAAAACACTTTTAACAGCTACTTTGTTGTGATAGTTAAAACTGATACAATAATAAATAAAATGCAGTAACCTTAACTTTACTGCCTCCAAATCACTAAATTATCAGAAACATTACTTTGTAAAATTTAGGCTGAAAGTAAAATCCTACAAGCTCTCAATAATAAATTTGAAACACAGATAGCCACTTCTTGTTGAACTAAAACGAAATGTACAAAAGCTTCTGTTTCATCTCTACCACCAACAGATGAAAGTGAACGTTAATCTTAAGGAATACTGTGATATGGAAATTGCAAAAGGATGTTCTTCTCAAAATAAAAACATGCGGAGACAAATATGTAATTAGTAACAAGTTTATTAATATCTTTTTGAAACAAAGTGATAAAAAATTAGTCACAAAATTCCAGAATCACAGAGCTAGAAAACTACCAAAATCCTAAGATCAGACAAAAAAAGAATTAAGGAAATCACATGCATAATAAATGTAATTTTAGATGGGATTTAGTGTGAAGAAAATTCATTTAGTGAATCATCATTTACAGTTCACTGCAGGTCTTTGTGTAGTATTCAAGTGAATAACGCATACCATTATTTACCTTTGTGTTAATATTTCTTTCATAACAGGTTCTCCTCAGTTAACTGTTCAAATGCAATGTCTGAGAAAGA